AGATTGATATATTTTGCACTGGATATGCAGCTGCTCCGGTAGCATTTTCAGAAAAGACTTCTGCTGGACACTGAAGTGACAAGGACGGATTTTAATCATAATAGACCTTTTCCATAGGGAAAAGAGTTCACTGTGATTGGACCCAGCCTCAGCTGATTTGTACAGAGGTTGCAGGGCATTCTTAGAGGGAGCATGGTGGAGCATGGAAGGGAAACATGCTGAATGAAAATTGGAAGGAGATTCGGCCCATTTGAGATCCACCTGGGCTTTCTAACTGGTGCTTACTGAAGTTAGGCTCCTGCCCTTGCACAGAGGCTGGAGGCAGCAGCTTCGTCTCCACATCTTCTCTAGACCACATAGCCATTCCTGGGGCAGCCTTGAGTATTATCAGATAGGCCCTTCAAGGGGAATTAGGTCATCTTGAATTCTTAATAAATTGTGTTTTGTTGAATTCTTTTTAAGCTTACATTAAGGCCTAGTTGACAAAAGGGCTTGGAGGAACTTTCTGGAGTTTGGTCATGAAGAGAATTTTTATCATTTCTCAACTGAAATGTTTTTCAACCTAATCAAAAATCAACTGGCCATATTTACATAAGTCTTGTTTTTGGATTCTCTCCTGTGTTCTATTCTATGTGTCTTTCACTTGGCAAATATTATCCTGATTGCTGTAGCCTTATAGTAAGTCTTAAAATTATGTGATGTGACTCTTCTGATTTTGATCTCCCCCTCAATTTAACTACTCTAGTTTCTTTGCTCTTCCATATAAGCTATTTACTGATTTATTTGGTGCTAGGAATCAAACCTAGGGCCTCATGTGTGCTGTGCAAGTGTCTTACTGCCAAGCAATATATTCATTCCTACCGCACCATGAACACTTCAAAATTGATGTGTTCATATCTACCAAAAATGTGTGTTGTAATTGTGTTAAATTGGTAGATCAATTTGGAGAGAATCAAAACCTTTTATTATGTTGAATCTTAACAATTCTTTTTCTTTCTTCTCAGTTACTAGGGATTGAACTAAGGACCTTGTGTTTGCCAGGCAGACATGGCATCCCTGAGCTACATCCCAGGCCCACAATTCTTGAATATAGTATATGTTTCTATTTATTCATGTTTCCTGTCATTTCTTTTCTGAGCGTTTTGTGGCTTGCAGCATACACACATCTGTATCTGTTAGATTTATCCCTCAGAATTTCAGTTGTGGGAAAGCTATTACAAATGACATTATTTAAAATTTAAGCTTCCAGTTAGTTACACCTTTATGGTATTGTCATAGGATGATTTTTCTTTTTTTTCTTAAGTAACGTGCCATTTTCTGCAGAGACAATCATGTACCCCTCTTTCCACTTGCAAGCCTCTACCTTTGGCTGATTTTTACGAAATTGAAATTCAACCAAATCTGCTGAATCTGTAGTAATGCCCAGAATTCCCTCCCCTTCCTTCCGGTTGTAAGTGCCTGGCTTCTCTTTGTGCGGGTTAGGATATGCTGTTGCTGAGAAGATTTGTTACATGAACAGAGCCAACCAAAACTGTGGTTAGCTTCCATTTTTATTAAGAGTTTTGCAAAATTTTCTAAAACATATGTGAAACTTCACTTTGCAAAGTAGGATACATAGAAAAAGGAATTTGAAGACAAGTCAATTAAAATTTTTTTTATTTGATAAGACTTTCTTATAGATGCCATTTCACTATGGGAAGGACTTTTTGTTTGTTTGTTTTTTTGAGACAGGGTCTCACTGTGTAGTTCAGACTGCTGGGAACTCACTGTGTAGCCCAGGCTAGTCTTGAACTCACAGCACTCCTCCTGCCTCAGCCTCCCAAGTGCTGGGACCACAGGCGTGTGCCACCACACCAGGCTGGGAAGGACTTTAAATATAGCTTGTTTGATTTTGTGCTACTGGATAGATAAACTCAAATTTGTATTTGTCACCTAGAAGTTCTAGATTACTGCAGCATTAAACTAAACTATCTTTCTTATTTAAAAGTTCAGAAGAGCAAAAGATTTTATAACTTCTGAAAATACTTTTCTAATATCTCATTTATAAGAATATTAACAATTAAAGAAGGATTTTTGCCAGGCATGGTGGCACATGCTTATAATCCCAGCACTTGGGAGGCCGAGGCAGGAGGATTGCCATGAGTTATAGGCCAGGCTGTACTACATAGCAAGGCCCTCTCAAAAACTACTTTTCTAATATCTCATTTATAAGAATATTAACAATTAAAGAAGGATTTTTGCCAGGCATGGTGGCACATGCTTATAATCCCAGCACTTGGGAGGCCGAGGCAGGAGGATTGCCATGAGTTATAGGCCAGGCTGTACTACATAGCAAGGCCCTGTCTCAAAAACAAAAACAAACACACACACACACACACACTCATACACACACACACATGCACACACACAAAAGAAAAGAAAAAAGATTTCTGTTCTGTGATTTTTTGAGCAAGTAGAAAATGATTTTTAATTCCCTTTCTTTGGTTAATTGTTTAGTGTGTTCAGTTGCTATAACAAAATACCTAGAGTGAATAGCTTATGACCACCAGAAGGCTATTTCTGACATTGGAAGCTAGAAGTCCAAGATCCAGGTGCTAGTCAATGGGGTTTCCAATGAGGACCTTCTCCTCATAGACCACACCTCCTCAACATTCTCCCGTGGTGGCAAGTTAGGAGAGATTCTCCTGTCTCTTGTTTGTGAGTGTTATTTCTCTGGACCTAATCACTTGCACAGGCCTCACTTCCTAGTACCATTGTCTTGAGGGTTAAAATTTCACCATTAGAATTTTAGGGGGACACAGACATTCAACCATAGCAATTGTTTATTGTACTGAATATTCAGTTATCTGTGGTAGTCAATGTCTGTCTTAATACTTAGATAATTTGAAATGCTCTGAAAGTGGAGTTTTTTAAAAAATGTTTTAGCTATAGAGTAATTGTAGTCTTTATTGTTAAAATTTTTTCCAACACTTTTGAGAAGCCACCTACTTTTTTCTTTATGTCTTCTGTTCTCACAGTTTTACCCATAGAGCCCAAAATTTAATGAGAATGAGATAGATGAAACATGAAGTTCTATTGATTTTTGGCATAATAAAATGAAATTTGACTTAATCTTTAAACTTGATAAAATAAATGCTTAAATTGCATATTTGGAAATCTTTTCACCCAACTAATGGATAATGTTATTGTTGCCACATATGAATGAGGAACGATAGACTTCTTGAGGTGGACGAACCACTTCACAGTTACCTGTTTTTTATACTACTCTCTGATAGATCATGTGCTTACATTTCTTTAGTGCTTTTAAAATAATATTCCCAGAGTGTGTATAGGATGTCTCCACAGGTTCCTTTCAGTTGACTGGTTTGATCCTATTTAAATATGTGACTATCAGCCATCCTGTATTTGTCAGCTTTCCATAACTGTGACAGAATAACTGAAATAAGCAACTGAAAGGAGGAAAGGTTTATTTTGGCTTCATTGCTTTTAGGCCTGTAGCATTGTGGAAACGTCATGGCAGAAGGGCCTGGCGGAGGGAACCTGCTTACCCATTACCCACCAGGAAGCAGAGAGAGAGGAAAGGAGCCAGGGAGGAAGGGGACTGGGGACAAAATACACCCTTCAAAGCCTCCCCACCTGCTTCATCCAATTAGGTCCCACCCCTGAGTAAAGACCACCGAGCTGTAAACTCATCAGATCAGTGAGGTTAGAGCCCTTCTGATCCAGTCACTGCACCAGGCCCCAGGCCCCCAACACAGGAAACCTTCTGAGGGATGATTTATGTCCAATCTGTAGCACAGCCCGAGCTTCTTCCCTTACTTCCCTCCATTGTAATAAGATTTTGATGGAACTGAATATTATTCGTCCTTTGAAAAACCTTAGGGACTTATGTAGTGGTATTTTAGTTTTACTTTCTCACCGTTTTTTTTTTTTTTTTTTTT